CTTGTTTTAATTTTTCTCCCCCCTCCCCTCCTCTTCTCCTTTCTAATTGTCATTCCTGCCGACCTTTTGCCAATCTTGATTATTCTTTCGGACTTCTGTTTTGATGCCCGGGTGTTTGGGGAGGCATACTCACTCTCCTGTAGAACTATAGTACCCAACGTCTCAAACGAGGGGACGCTTTTATTGTCAATCCTCCTTTCGTCGCTGAACCCGATCTCAACAGACTGACGGTTCTTATGTGGTGATTGTGGGGCGTATACACATGGAATTGACAGTACGATTTAATACTAAGTGTAATAAGTACACTTACTTACTGTCATAAACAGTGTCTGGGGCTGTTACATTTACCCAACCCCCTCCCCTGATTTAATTCTCCTCGTTTTCTGTTAAGACACTCAGAATTTTAGGATGAAGTTTTAAATTTAAATTTGAATGAATGAATGAATTAAATATAGGTCAAGATACCCTAATGGGTGAGCGTGGAAGTGGGGATAGGGGAAGAATTAGTGGGGGTGAGAGGAAGGGTTTTCAGTATGAGGTAAAGTGCCAGGGCTAGACCCAGCTGCATGGCATTGAAATCGTTATGACCAGACTAGGCAGTGAAGGCAAGGAATCGGATCTCTGTGACATTTCGTCTTTCTGAGCACCCACGGAGACAGCAGCCCTCAGCTGGGTGTGCCCTGGAGGCTCTCACCAGATGTGGTCTTAGATCTGCTAATCAGCATCGTGCCCCGCCCAAGGGATTTGCAATACACAAGTTTTAAATATCAGGAAATTGTTTTTCGGCTTTATTAAAAATATGGATTTTATACAAAATTTTAAAATATCCTGAGTTACTTTACAATTTATTTATATATTTTAGTTTTGTTTTATTAGTTTTATAAAACTGTAATATCAATATAGCTATAGGTTAAGTACTAATTGTAATTAAGAAGCAATAAAATTATTATCTACAAAAACTAAAACGGTTAGGTGAGGTTGTGGTTTTCTATTCAGTTTTTCAGGTAAACTCAAATATTCACAATATATTTGACTACGATTTAATACTAAGTGAAAATAAGTACAATTCCTAACTGCTATGAATAGTACATAATTGCACTTATTTGTCTTCTTACATTTACCACCCCATTTTTGGAGGACGGGATGATCTGTAATCCTTTACACCACCGCCCACGGGATGGGTATGGGGTGCATAATAAAGAAAGAAATTGAATTGTACTCTAATAAACCCAATGTACCTTCTTGTATAAAAGTAATTAATAAATAAAATTAGTCTATGTATCAGCATAAATAAATATATAAAATCCATTTTATAATAATAAAGTCGCTAATTAGTTCACATGTATTTATTTTATGTATTGAAATTGAAAGCAGAAATGTCTTAAATATAAAATAGACATTTTATTAAAAATGTCTTAAATATAAAATAGGTGTTTTATTAAGTACTTATTTGCCAGTTGGAATATCTACTGAACGTATTCCAGGCTGCTTAACTTGTAAACATGCCAGTGACCCCAGTGCAATGTTGTCAGATTGGGCTACAAATAGCGAATTGGGCTACTTTTGAGAGCCCCGCGCTCCCAAATTTTTAATTTCGCTGCTTGCTACTTTTTGGGCTAATTTAAAAACAAGATGTGCTAATTTGGGCCATTAATGTTAAGAATGTACGATTGCGAGTTACATGAAAGCAACTAAGCTATAAATAATGGTAATTAACAATAATTGTAAATATCAATTAATACTAAATAATATTATTTAATAAATTAGTCCCAATTCAATGCAGAGTTTTCTTCCAAGCACAGAAACTTGTAAATATAAATACAAGATAATAGATAGATCGATAAATAGACAACTTTCAAATATTGCACAAAGAAATGGCGAGAGGAAAAAACTAGACAGTATACATTACATTTGAAATTAATAATGGATGAATGGTAATAAATTGGTGTATGTTTGTACGTATACCAGACAAAGTCCATTTAATGGCAGAATTTAGCCATTTTGTGTAAAAACTTTTATATCTCATATTATTAATTATTACAGTAATCGAAAAAAAGTCATAGTTTGTATATAGAAGACATGAAACAGAGAGCCATGAGCTAGAGCGATGTGTTGAGTCCATAAGGAGGCCGAGCTTCCAGAAATACCTTCCTGTGATTGGCTGTTGCGGGGAATACCAACACTCTTTTATGAATAAAATTTAAACTAAGAAATAGGCCCTTGTGCACAACAACAAGGTTGTTCTGAAAAAGAACAACAATTTCTGTTTTGCACCTGACAGAAATCTCCATCTAACTGAATAATTTACTCGAATAAGAGGGCAGAGCAGTGTATCATTATTTGTGTGAGGCAACCCCCCCTGATGACGTCACAAGTTAGGTAGCCAGCCCATGTTTCTGTAACACTCGTTACATCCTGCAGTATTTAATTATCACTATATTAATACTTTTAAATACTTAACATTTCACTTTTTAGGTAGATTAAAGTTGAAACAGAATGTCATAAGCAAGATGGTGTGCTGAATAAAGATGATTTATTAAGTTTAATGGAGCCTTTAGCTGATCCCTTCCTGTGATTGGCTGTTGTGTGAATGTCAACAAAGAATATCTACCAATGATATGCCATTTATTATGCACCCCATACCATTTGTGGGCGGAGCTTGGAACCTCCTACCCGAGCACAACAACCCACCTTATGGGTTGCTGTTTGGCTATTTATAGTGCGTTGGAAAAAAACGAGATGGCGTTAGTTGTATTTTGCAGGGTAATTTGTTATAAGTGTAATTTGATGTCAACAGATGGCGTAAGCTGTATCTTATGGCCACTATTGACCAGCCAGTTGATAGTGTTCTCTTCTGCCGACAGATGGCATCAGCTGTGTTATTATTATTTTAATAATATTATTACATTAATAATAATAATGTATTTTTAATAATGTAATAATAGTAATGTAATAATAATAATTAATAATAATGTATTATTATTACTTTAAACACTGATCTATACGTCAGGTAGCTTATAATAAGATTTTATACCATGCTGGTATTAGGTAACTAGAATTCTGCAGTTACTTTTTATTATCTACTGTTGAGGATATGTAAGACAAATGTAAGGTTTTGAGGCTAAGTAACGAAGATAGTTACAAGATACGAGCCAGATGGTGTTGAGATTGCAAAAGGGATTATGATAAGAACTTAAGACAATTCTATAATCAATGTTCCAGCGATGTGTCAATATTTCATTCAAAATGATCTGCTACCAGAAATTTTAGCCAAATATCCCCAGTTTGCTAACTGTAGGTAGTAACTAAGTGATTGTAACCTATCCACCGCTGCCCACGGCATGGGGGGCGGTGTGCAGGACAAACATATAAATTGTGACACTAGCTCTCCACATATGTCAGTTGCTTAATTTAGAACTTGTACTTGAGGCCAATCTCGAACCCATTGTTGATGTGACGACTTATATTGAATTTTGTAACTAGCTCATCAAGATTGTAACTTGCTTAGCTAAATGAATTGTGGAGTTCAGTCCCTGAGCCCATTATGTGCCTCTGTAACCCTTTCCATCACCGCCCACAGGATGGGTATAGGGTGCATAATAAATGAACTAAACTAAACTAACTTAAGCCAAAAAATCAATGCATAAATGTTCGCAAATATGAGACTGGGATTTATTTCTCGAAAAGTTAGCAATAAAATACGCTTCTAGTTCTTTATTTTTAAAGAATCACGCTCAGGAGTAAAATTTCGGACATTTCAGATATTTTGAAAACTGCAGGGGGGTTTGGGCAAAATATGACCCTTCGCCGTTTTCAGTAATTAGCATATTTTCGGTATAAAAAGTCGTAATTTGAAAATGAAAATAGGTGCAGAGAGTCAGAAATCGGCTCAAAATTCACAGCCAGAAGTCAAATTTCCGACATTTCAGATATTTTGAAAACTGCAGGGGGGTTTGGGCAAAATATGGCCCATCGCCGTTTTCAGTAATTGGCATATTTTCGGTATAAAAAGTCGTAATTTGAAAATGAAAATAGGTGCAGAGAGTCAGAATTCGGCTCAAAAATCACGCTCAGGAGTCAAATTTCCGACACTTCAGATATTTTTGAAACTGCAGGGGGGGTTTGGGCAAAATATGACCCATCGCCGTTTTCAGTAATTGGCATATTTTCAGTGTAAAAAGTCGTAATTTGAAAATGAAAATAGGTGCAGAGAGTCAGAAATCGGCTCAAAAACCACGCTCAGGAGTCAAATTTCGGACATTTCAGATATTTTGAAAACTGCAGGGGGGTTTGGGCAAAATATGACCCATCGCCGTTTTCAGTAATTGGCATATTTTCGGTGTAAAAAGTCATAATTTGAAAATGAAAATAGGTGTAGAGAGTCATAATTCCGCTCAAAAATCACGCTCAGGAGTCAAATTTCGGACATTTCAGATATTTTGAAAACTGCAGGGGGGTTTGGGCAAAATATGACCCATTGCCGTTTTCAGTAATTGGCATATTTTCGGTGTAAAAAGTAGTAATTTGAAAATGAAAATACGTGCAGAGAGTCAGAATTCGGCTCAAAAATCACAATCAGGAGTCAAATTTCCGACATTTCAGATATTTTGAAAACTGCATGGGGGTTTGGGCAAAATATGACCCATCCCCGTTTTCAGTAATTGGCATATTTTCGGTATAAAAAGTCGTAATATGAAAATGAAAATAGGTGCAGCGAGTCAAAATTCGGCTCAAAAATCACGCTAAGGAGTCAAATTTACGACATTTCAGATATTTTGAAAACTGCAGGGGGGTTTGGGCAAAATATGACCCATCGCCGTTTTCAGTAATTGAAATATTTTCGGTATAAAATATCGTAATATGAAAATGAAAATAGGTGTAGAGAGTCAGAATTCGGCTCAAAAATCACGCTCAGGGGTCAAATTTACAAAATATATCATCACTTTATAGAAATATTATGTCAGAATTCTCATTCATTATAATGAAAATGGTTTACTAAATAGCATTTTGAAGTTTATTTACAAAAATATACAAGTTCTACATAAATATACTATTACTTTTCTTATTGCATACATATATATACAGTACTGTAGTACAAATATGGACTCAAACCCCACCTACATAATCAAACTTTTGGAAAGATACTAATCCTTAATAAAAATGTAAACTAGTTCAATAGGATCAAAAACACACACTTAGGTATTTTTGGTAAAAATGTGAAATACATGAAATCTTTCACACTTTTCCAAGTGCATTATCAACGTCAGAGTTTGTGGTTTGGAGCAGACTAGCATCTCAAAGACTAATACAGTTGCTATCCAGAATCCAGTCCTCTTATTTTTCTTGACCTCCTGATCATGTCACCTCCATTTCCGACTCCATTTCAGTGTTTCAGAGGGGATGTTTTCCAAGGAGTTAAGATCAGTTGTCCTTTTTGTCATCCTGGGATTCTGAGAACTGGAGTTGATATTAATAAAGGTATCAGTCCAGATGCTATCCCTTGTAACTCCCTCCAAACCCAAAGGAGAGCAGCTATTGAGAAACTTAGATTTTAATAAATGAATAAATCCAAGTAGTCTCAATAGCTGCTCTCCTTTGGGTATGGATGGAGTTACAAGGGATAGCATCTGGAAGGGATATGTTTATTAACAATTCCAGATCTCAGAATCCCAGGATGATGGAAAGGACAATTGATCATATTCCCTCATAAACATCGGCAGTCGGGAATGGAGGTGACATGATTAGGTGGTCAAGAAAGATAGGATCCCGGAAAACCGTATTAATCATTCAGATGCAGGTCTCCTCCAAACCATATACAGTGTTAAATATTTAGTACAGAGAAGGTATAATGAATATAGGTTGGCAAGTGATATAGTACATGGTTTGGTCACATGATCACCCATCCAGTTTCTGGCCAGCCCCAAAGATGTTTAACTAGGCTATGACACATGCATTATCTACCGTGCCATACCATGGTGGAGATAATGATTATAATACAAGTGGTAGTGTTAATAAAATTATTACAGAGTACATATAAAGAATTTGGCATTTACTATCATAAAAAAGCTGAATGTTTAAGATCTGAAGTAATTCAAGATATTGCACAAACCATGAAAAAGAAAAATTTGAACTATATAAGGCAATCTTTACCAGGGTTCCTTTAAATATTAATTTGAAAAGGTATAATATTCCTTTAATAAGAAAAGGTATAATAAAAATATAATGCTTTGGGTAGCATTCCAAACATTAGAATAAAATAAAATAAAACGATAATTTAGCCAAGTAAACCAGTGACCATAATATCCAAGAGTGGTGTTGGTTTGACTTTGATTCAGTGTTAATTCAACATTGAAGTTGAATTTGCATTGCTCTTGGATATTATTCCTTCTAGTGTTATTTCCAACAAAATCATTAATTATTTATCCTGACAGTTCCAAACTTTTTACAGAGACAACTTGTGTAGCATGGAAAAAAACAGAGTGAGTGAGTTTCAAGCTGAATATCCTGAGGAAATCTTGAAGACAACAAAATAAGGAGAAGAATTTCTAGCCAGTCCAGATCATCACTGAAGTTGCATCAATCACTTTTTATATATAATCATTAATTAAACATGGTGTTGAATGGAACTATGGAACCATTTTTCAGCTAAGTTACTTTTTAATTACTTCTTCAATATTAAGGTTTTCAATTTTTTGTTCAATATTTAATAGGTTTTCTAGACTATCTGCAGGAGCCGCTTTTGTTTGTGCTGTACTTAAATTTTTGTTTGTTTCATGACCAGGAACTTGTTCTCTCACTCCACTGCCCACTTGTGTTTGAAGATTTTTCTCACAGAAATCAACACTTTGCTGAATTTTTTTGTCTTCTTCCTTGAAATTTTTACTAATGATATAATTTATTTCTGTTAAGTAAGAGAGAACACGATCATAGTACCCAAGATCAAGATCAAAACAGGATAGGACTTTCTTCTGAATGTTCATGGCTTGTTCTCCCTTCAAGGCCTCCGAAATGGCTGAATATCTCACCGTTAGCCTGTAATCACATAAGACTGTCAGCATACATCTGCAAATTATGTACGATTGGTGCAAGTAAACAAAGTTGTCATTACAGTCCTGAAGAAAATAAATACCTAGATCAGCTTATTTACTTCACATTTTTATATACTGTACTGTACAGGGTATACGATTTTCAAAACTGAATCAATTCTTTAGCTTTGTTCTATAGCAGTTGCCTAATTATTTGGTATACTTTAAATTTTACAGTTATATTTCCAAGTTGGATTTGTTGTTAATATACTATATGAGATGTTGTCATCTTTATAATCAGCAAATGTGTTATCAGCATACATTTGTTTTTTATTTATAAATTTTTATACAATGGACTCTTATTCAAATAGACTTGCCATTGTCTATGGCAAGTCTTAACCCACCAGGGCGGCACACCCGGTGGTGGCGCACCATTTTCCCTACGCAGATTTCACTACTACTGTTATGCAGCATGTAGTCAGACCTAGAAGATGGTCACAAACATTTACAGTCAGGCAGGCATTCAACAGTCACAAGTCGGTCAAAGACAGTTAGGCATTCACAGTTGTGATAGCAATCAGTCAGTTTGTAAACAACATGAGTTTGTTGTTTACAGAACATGAAGGCCACCATCTGGTAGGAATGAAGCCGAGAATCTGAACCGTATTAATCCCATTACCGATGGTCTAGATGCAGCTGGAGAGGTAGGGAATATTTATCAAAGGATCTGGTGTGGGGATGGGTTTGGGGATATAGCAGTGATGGGGGAGCTGAGGGGTGGACGAGACATGAGCACATTTACCACATGACCACCACGTCAAACCCACCCACCCATCCAGAAAATAGCTGCCTGCCTGCCCAAACCCACCCAGTTTCCATTACTCCAATGAATTCAAAGTTAATTATTATTTTTTGTTATAATGTATTTTTCAGTTATCATCAAACTGTTTAGATGTGTTCTTACTGTAAATGATAGAACACACCTCTAGGCATTAATTCACAATACATAAACAATTAGTTATTGTAATATTTGTGTATTAATACATACACAAATAATGCATACAATTAGTTGTAAATAAAAATAAACAATTATAGTATACAAATTTTAGTTTGTACTAACCTTTATATGTAACCATAATGAGTGGGGGAAAATGGTGGGGCATATATTGAGCAAAATCTTAATTTAAATCCTTCATATGATGGGTACTGTAAAGAAGAACTAGATTATAGTTTTCACTATAAGCCCCTAAACCCTAATTTTTCCCAGCTATTGTAGCTCACCGACTGCTTAACAAACTCAAAATGAAAACCAACAATGGAATTTTGTTTTAACCATTCTCATTGGTTAATTGGAACCTTGGCTCCAGTTAGAAAATTTAAAAAGTGTGTTTTATCAATATTAAAAGTTGCCATCTGTACCCACTTAATTTCTATGCTCTGAGCAAGTTTTAATGAGCAAAAACAAAATCAACATGTTTGTGTGATGAATATCTACTCGATAAACCTAATTATACAGGCGCACTCCCTCCAACGACGTCTCTGGACGGAAAGCCAACGAACATGGTGTCTAATCTGATAAATGAAAGAGAACTTCTGCCCTCGCAAAATATTTGTTTTATGACAAAATACATCACAATTCTGATTTAGTAAATACAAAAAATACATCACAAGTACACAGTACATAATTCAAATACAATAATAATGTACTGTATAGTATAAGTGAGAATGGTGATGTTGAGTGAGGAAGATGTTATTGAATAAGATTCAACAGAAGTTGAGATGCTGAGGTTCCAACATTTATATAATCCAGAAGTCAGCTTTGAAAATAATGATGTGAATTTGTTACTTATATTTTGTATGAGTTTGGTTCTATTTAACCTCCTCTTCCAGTGAATGGCTGTGTATATTTTGCCACCATATCTATAATCTCACCATGACTGTTTATCTCACTCAATCCAGGCCTGTGTCGGCCTTAGGATTGTCTATTATTTCTTCTGTGAGTATTGGATTTCATTCATTTAACATAGGCAGTGAGTGCTTATATTTTTTGGTAATGGAACCTTCTCAGTAGCTTCCTTGAGTTACAAACTCTGATTCATGAGTCATTGTATATACTGTAAGTAGGCATCTAAAGACTTGAGGGCTTATCAAACCCAGAAAATACAATGCCTCTGAGAACCTAATATTTTAAGTGTAGGGCCCTTAAAACACAAAGTTATTACTGTACTGTACATTGCCCTAAACATCCAATGTTTGCTAGAAACAAATACAACAAATAGAAAGCCTGGAAGACTAGATCATGGGAGGTTTAAAGGTTGCTGGATATAATATTACTTCTGAGCCTGATTTGTTTGTCAACAGAGGTGACTGCTGGATCTGGACTAACTTTACAATAGGGTAAGTAATTTTATGGTTATTTGGATCATCATCAACATCCACCCACCCTGCCTGCCCACTAGCCAGCCAGACCACGTGCCCCCCCCCCCACTAGAAAGCCAGACCACGTGCCCACCCACACTAGCCAGCCAGACCACGTGCCCACCCCCACTAGCCAGCCAGACCACGTGCCCACCCCCACTAACCAGCCAGTCCACCTGCCCACCCCAACTAGCCAGCCAGTCCACCTGCCCACCCCCACCCCTGCCTGCCTGCCAGCCAGCTAGCCAGTTACCCATCCATCCATCTTACCTGGAGAGGGTTTAGTAACAGTATTAGTAACACAATTTACAGTACTTTAATAACTTGGCTTGTTTTCAATATTTTATTATTGGCAACTATTTTTGTGCCTAGCGAACTTACCAAGTATGCTCATCTGGCCCACTTAACCTACTGTACTTTCACATCCGTAATGCGACCACATTAGACGCAGGGCAAATTTTTTATACATTTAAAAATAAAAAAGCGCGTCTTATATGCCAGCAAATACAGTACAACATATCTCGGAGATGGCCTAAAAACATGCATCCTATCCATTGGCAAATATGGCATTTCAGCAAAACAAAAACATGACAAAGCTTACATTTTAAGCAGAATGAGAGAGATAAGCCGCCACTGCCTAGGCTTAAAGCAGATGTTTTGTGGAGATAAATCAAAAGTTGCAATTAGGGTCTTGTGCAAACGCCGTACTTCCCGACCATCTAAGTCTGTTGCTTCTAGAATCTGTCGAAGACTGGCAAAAAAATTTTTTTTTAATACAAACAAGTATGTTAAAATAGTCGTATTGTATAATAATATCTCAGCCAGGTAAAATTTATTGTATAATAGCAAATCTAAGTACCATGTATGCAGTAGAATGTATTTGTGGGTGTGTACATGCTTGCATACATACATATGTGCTGCTATATGTATATAAGTGTGTGTGTAATTACCTAAGTGTAGTTACAGGATGAGAGCTACGCTCGTGGTGTCCCGTCTTCCCAGCACTCTTTGTCATATAACGCTTTGAAACTACTGACGGTCTTGGCCTCCACCACCTTCTCACTTAACTTGTTCCAACCGTCTACCACCCTATTTGCGAAGGTGAATTTTCTTACATTTCTTCAGCATCTGTGTTTAGCTAGTTTAAATCTATGACCGCTTGTTCTTGAAGTTCCAGGTCTCAGGAAATCTTCCCTGTCGATTTTATCAATCCCTGTTGCTATTTTGTACGTAGTGATCATATCATCTCTCTTTCTTCTATCTTCTAGTTTTGGCATATTTAATGCTTCTAACCTCTCCTCGTAGCTCTTGCCCTTCAGTTCTGGGAGCCACTTAGTAGCATGTCTTTGCACCTTTTCCAGTTTGTTGATGTGCTTCTTAAGATATGGGCACCACACAACAGCTGCATATTCTAGCTTTGGCCTAACAAAAGTCATGAACAATTTCTTTAGTATATCGCCATCCATGTATTAAAAAGCAATTCTGAAGTTAGAAAGCATAGCATAGGCTCCTTGCACAATATTCTTTATGTGGTCCTCAGGTGATAGTTTTCTATCTAGAACCACCCCTAGATCTCTTTCTTTATCAGAATTCTTTAAAGATTTCTCACATAATATATAGGTTGTGTGGGGTCTATGTTCTCCTATTCCACATTCCATAACATGGCATTTATTAACATTAAATTCCATTTGCCAAGTGGTGCTCCATATACTTATTTTGTCCAGGTCTTCTTGAAGGGCATGACAATCATCTAAATTTCTTATCCTTCCTATTATCTTAGCATCATCAGCAAACATGTTCATATAATTCTGTATACCAACTGGTAGATCATTTATGTACACAATAAACATCACTGGTGCAAGAACTGAACCCTGTGGTACTCCACTTGTGACATTTCTCCATTCCAATACATTGCCTCTGATTACTGCCCTCATTTTTCTATCAGTCAGAAAATTTTTCATCCATGATAGAAGCTTACCTGTCACCCCTCCAATATTTTCCAGTTTCCAGAACAACCTCTTATGTGGAACTCTGCCGAACGCCTTTTTTAGGTCCAGATAGATGCAGTCAACCCAACCATCTCTTTCCTGTAATATCTCTGTGGCTCGATCATAGAAACTGAGTAAATTCGATACACAGGATCTTCCAGATCAAAAACCATACTGTCTGTCTGATATTATATAATTTCTCTCTAGGTGTTCTACCCATTTAGTTTTGATTAGTTTTTCCAATACTTTCACTATTACACTTGTCAATGATACAGGTCTATAATTGCGGGGGTCTTCCCTGCTGCCACTTTTGTAGATTGGAACTATGTTAGCCTGTTTCCACACGTCTGCTACGATTCCTGTACACAGGGATGCCTGAAAGATCAGGTGAAGTGGAATGCTGAGCTCAGATGCCCATTCTCTCAGAACCCATGGTGAAACGCCATCTGGGCCAGCTGCTTTGTTCTTACCGAGCTCCTTGAGCATTTTTTCCACTTCGTCTCTAGACACCTCTATGTGCTCTATGTTGTTCTCTGGAATTCTTATTGTATCTGGTTCCCTAAAGATTTCATTTTGTACAAACACACTTTGGAACTTTTCGTTTAGTGTTTCACACATTTCCTTTTCATCTTCCGTGAATCTATTTCCCATTTTCAACCTCTGAATATTATCCTTTACCTGCAATTTGTTGTTTATGAATTTATAGAATAGACCTGGTTCTGTTTTACATTTGTCTGCAATCCCTTTTTCAAAATTTCTTTCTGCCTCTCTCCTCACTGCCGTGTAGTTGTTTCTCGCATCTTTGTATCGCTGGTATGTTTGGGGGTTCGGCCTCTTCCTGTATTGATTCCATTTTTGTGTCTTTTGGTCTCTAGCCCTCTCGCAATTTCTATTGAACCAATCCTGTTTCCTAGTTCTGCATCTCTGTTTTGGTATAAATTTTTTTGTGCCTTTATCATATATTTCACAAAACTTGACATACATCTCATTCACTTCCTTGCCTAGCATCAAGTCTGTCCAATTATACTCACTAAAAAAATTTCTAAGGTCACCATAATGTCCTCTCCTGAAGTCTGGTTTTTCAACTGCTTCAACCTCCTTATTTTCTTCCAGCTTATAACGCATTGCATACTTTATTCCCAGAAAGACATGGTCACTTTTACCCAAGTGTGTAAGTAATTACCTGTGTGTAGTTACAGGATGAGAGCTATTTTTGTAGTGTCCTGTCCTCCCAAAAATACTTATCATAAGACATTTTGAAGCGGGTGGAGAAGTGGATGTATACATATATATGTGCATATTTACATGTGTGTACATGCTTGCCTGCAGAAATAATTTATTCTTAAGTCAGATGAGTGATTATACCTCACTTATGCAAATTTTGTTTGAATTTTTCATCTTTTAACTCAAATACAAATTTGAGTTAAAAGTGAGATTTCTGCCAAATGGGAAACCCAAATAACTTTGAACTGTTTGATTTTGGAATATTTCCAGTAGTTAAGACAAAAAAACTTGAATGTCCAGGTAATATGAATGTCCAGCTAACTCAAATGGGGGCAAGTCCCATATAATTTGGATTACCATACGTAGATGGTACCTGATATTCTCCATCCCCAACATATGTCAGCACCATCCATAACTCAATTTCTACCTATCCTACATATCTGGACTAATGGAAAAAACAAAAACTTTAGCATATGATGACAGGTCAGGAAGGAATAGCTCATGAACAACATATTTAAAACCAAAACCAAAAAGTTTTTCAAAAGCTCCACCAATTGAGCGACCAATTTGGAATGGGAGGACTAAAGGCCATTTCAATAAGCACTGTTGGATTTTCATCCTCAAATGCTTTATCTTGGATGGTCTTTAATCCCCCAAGAAATCACTACATAACATTTCTGAGCTCTAGCAGCTTGATGGCTGCAAAGTGTGCAACCCAAAGAGACAAAGAGGGTAAACACTAGCTTCATGCACAACACCTTGCATTCTTGCATGTCTATGGGTGAAAACAGCAATGCTCGCAGTAGTGTGAATGGAACGAGCAAAGCCGGTAGTCCTCCTAGTACACAAATTGTCTGACAAGCAGAATAAAGACACCAAGAACAATCTTGTGTACCTTTCCTTTGAATGCTCTATTCGAAAACACAGGAAATTAATTCCCTAATATGTAATGTACAAAATAAACTTTTACCAAATCCATTGGAAAGCAATCTAAACTAGCTGAGGAAAGCTAGCATTTCCCTAGTGGGAACACCACCCACTTCTCCAATTGCCATTTGTGATTTTTCCCCATTTTATTTGTTATCAGGTAACTATTTTTTGTCATGTGCATCTTGTTGTACTTTTAAATAGCTATGTAGTTCAGGGGTTAATAATACTGTTAGCATTGACACCTTTAAACAATAATATGTTATGAAGAACTAATGATCCTAATATGCAAGAGGGGTAGAAGCTTGACCAGCCACGAACCAAAACAGGCCTATCCTTATCCTTGATACAACAAAGGAAGACCAGAGACCTACTTGAGCACATCCTGTACTCGAGACAAGTACAGTGTTTTTCCTAACAAGAAGTTTACAGATTGACTGCCCCTGATCCTGACAAGAGACAAAGAGCAGACGACCGAGCTGAAATTTATAGACAGAAGAGGTAAATATTAAAATAAATCTCCTGAAAGCTTTGGTATGGGTAGCACTAATAGGTAGATTTGAAAATAACAAAGCCGATACTATGAGTCACTTACTATGCACTAGTTTTTTCTTCCACAATGTTTTGACGCCAAGCAACTTGGGAGTAGTTGTCAATAAAGGGAAGAGTTGAACCTTCTATGTCTACTTCTTCATTCTTCTTCTTCTTCTTCTTCTTGGATTTCAATTTTTGTTCGTTTGTTTGTGATTCCTTTTGGCTCCCTTTCTCATCCAAAGCTTTTACAGTGGATATGTCGTCTGTTGCAGAGTCAGGGCAACCTTCCACCTTGTCTTGTTGGCTAAATACCGTTTCTTCATACTGCTCACTTCCTCCAATAAATGATACAACCTGAAGAAAATTGCAAGTACAGTACACGTTGAACCGGTTAAGTTTTCTCTGAAAAAATATTACAATACACTTTATTTCTGAACTCGATCCACTATTGTCACCACAGTATTTAGACAATGTTCTGCTTCCTGGGGAACACAAAACTCTTGCCAGGGAGTGACAGTGGAGTATAGTAGTTATCTTTCAATGCTTAAAATTATTATCCAGCATTCTCTCTATACCCAATTTGGGTTATCTTCTTGAAGTTATCTTGAGATGATTTCGGGGCTCTTTAGTGTCTCCGCGGCCCGGTCCTCGACCAGGCTTCCAGACCAGGGTGCATACAAGTGCAGTACATTGTATTTGCAGATCCACAGATAACCTCACAATTATATGCTCACTAATCTATTACTTTCAGATGTTACTGCTTCTCTTTGAGGTAATGTAATACTGCCTTATGGCCCAGAAACAAACAGTAAAATATTTATTAATTTGTACTTTCTAACACATAGATCTCAAGACAATAGTCAGTTCCTATTACATCTTGTTCCATGAGTTACTTCTAGCTATTTATGATTTATATGAAATTAAGGACCCCACAACATACCATCTAAGTACTGCACACATTATATATTTCAAAGTATCAAACTCATTAACACAGAAGTGTGTACCTTGAGCTGCAGCTTCTTGGCGTCCCTCTGCAGTTGTTGATAATCAGGTAATGGCAACTTTTGTGTACACTGTTTTGCACCTGCATCATCAGTGATTTCAATCTGTAAGTCCTCAGCCATTTCTTCGTGGTCAAGCTTATGACAGATGGCAATGTATTTTCCTTTGGCATCTATACCCAATCGGAGACCTTGAAGTATAAATGGCTGTTATTATTTTCTTATCTTTTAATGCAGAAAGAAGTTAAAGATTTAAGAGCAATGTCTGAGTTGAAACTCCAAATAAGCCTGGGATTAATTACTGATCTGGAGGATAAAGAATACAGTAATACATAAATGTTATAATTCAAATTATCACTTAGAAGAGCAAGTGTGATGGGTTTTGCACTTGAAATTCACAAACCTTTGAAGATTAATGACAACAAAAAAATAAACACCAGATTTCATCCCTGGCTGCTATATTTTCTACCATTAAATATCTCTTAATCCAATCATTACAAAATTTTCAATCATCCTGAAATTCAGAACATTCTACATGGAGCTGTACGACAGCGGAATAATGCGGTTCTGACATTAAGGTTCCATTAAGTGCCTGGGAGCTAATCATATGGCCAATACTTAACCTAGTCACAGATCTTTCCAACTTCCTAATTTGGTGACACAAGGAAGGCCTTGATGATCACATCATCTTTATTTGCAATAGCAGATGAGCCTTAAGACTGAAGTTTAGGCTGACCTCAATCACCTTCTATAGGCGAGTGGTCAATAGCACACTACACTATATGTATGCACCAGATCTCTAACCCTACCCAGGACAGAAAAAAATGTACATATCCTGGTTAGCATTGTAAATGAATGACCCTGTCAGTGGAACAAAATAATGAACAACAATTCAGTGTATATATTAGGATTTATAAAGTGTGTACAATATACAGTGATACCTTAGTGTATGATTTCCCTAGAGTGCGAATTTTTTAGTATATGACTTACATATTCATCGTAAAATTTGAATTGGTGTACGATGTTTTACTTGGAATATGACGTCTGTTAATACGTGTATAGGTCGAACGAGCGCGTGGTGCAGGGTGCAGGGCGAGGCACACTCAGTTGTTTACCAGTGTATCCCGCCTAGTGACGACTGCGTTTGAATTCTTTGTAACGAATTTCATTTTTTCTGTTTTTTTTTTGTTTTCTGAACAGTAAAGTTATATTATATATCATGCCATGGGTCCCAAGATGGATGGTGAGGGAACTGGATGGATGATGGGAGGGGTGGACGGATGGATGGTGGAGGGGGACTGGACAGATGGATGGTAGAGGACTGGACGGTGGGGGACTGGCCTGGATGGATGGATGGTGAAGGGCCTGGATGGATGGATGGATGGTGAGGGGCCTGGATGGACGGATGATGAAGGGCCTGGATGGATGGATGGTGAAGGGCCTGGATGGATGGATGGTGGAGGGGGGATTGGATGGATGGATGAATGGTGAGGGGACTCGATGGATGGTGGGGGAACGGGATGGATGGATGGTTACCTTACCTTACCTTGAGATGGATGGATGGATGGATGGCTGGATGGTGGGGGAACTGGATGGATGGATACGGGGATGCGGTGGGTGGATGGATGATGGAGGGGGACATGATGGATGGATACGGGGATGCGGTGGATAGATGGATAGAGTAGGGAAACATGATGGATGGTGGGGTGAACCAACATTCCCCACACCGCACTTTCACCGCTAAATGTTACTTATGTTTACTTATTTTATTTATGGTTTATATTTATACCCGATTGTTTTGTGAATGAAAAATACGAGTAGTATTCTGTATAAAATGTATTTTTAAATTAATATTTTTGGGAGGTGTGGAACGGATTAATTCAATTTACGCTATTTCTCATGGGAAAATTCATTTTAGTGTACAAATTTTTTATGTACGACGCGTCTTTGGGAACGGATTAGGATCGTAAATGAAGGTACCACTGTATTAATCTTTATAAAGTGCATACAAGGATTTTATAGCATTTTTATTAGACTACTATTGATAATCCAGGGCATATGATACTAACAGTAATTTAATTATTTTTCAATTCATATCCAATAAATAATAACATAGGCCTATTCAGTAAAAAAATGTTAAATATTGTTAAAATAAACAATAAAAATAAAAAAGTAAGAGAATACCACTAACCTGAGGTGGTGTCATAATCTTCCCAAGTACGATTAATGTGTTCCAACATGCCGCGCACATACTTGTCCCCTAAAACTGTACGTAATGAGTCAAACGACATCCACTCTCTTAGAGCCTGCTCCACCTGAGTGAAAGTAAAGCAAGTCAGCCAACATCAGGCAGCCTCATAACCACTATTGAGGGCTAATAAACATACAAGAGTAGACTAAAGTGATGGTGTCATTTATAAATACAGCACCGAGTGTGACAAAACACTCCCCTTCTAGGTTGCTAATGTCGTCAGCTCGTGAAGGACACTTTGATCTTGTCAGGCTTCGCATGACAATTTTAACATCTTCAGACTCATGTGGCAGGCTGGAGATCAAAGATCAACCCACTACTAAGATCAACTCCCAAAACAAACGAAAATTACAGAACAATCAACCCTCCTTCAAAAACAGTTTGAGAACCGCTAATTGCATAACCTTCTAAAACTTAAACAATTTATAATTATAAACTTAAAACAAAAATATCATGTACTAGTACTTTACAAATTAATGTACAGTACCTCACTATCCTCTTACCAAAATGTTAAATTGATCAGATTATTACATATATGTATTATACTGCATATACTGTATATATAGTCTTCTTAACTTTAAACAAAATTTGTAAAGGTTTTCCCTTTCCTTCAACATCATGAGAAGGGAAGGAAAGGAAATTATCAGGATAATGTGATAAGCCAGTATGACTATATAGAACATGGAAGGTATGCGAGAACAGGATAGGAGCTGGGGGTAGGACAACACTATGAAGGAATGATGTCCAATCACTTGGACCATTGGAAATCATATGCTGAGCTCAAAGAAGTGAGTTATCGCTGTATCGACCAGACCAAGTGGTTGCATTTTTAGAAGATATTAATAATGCTTGCTGCCACACAATAGCTATAACATTTATAGACATTACTTACTTGGTAGACTGCAACAAGAGGGTTTTCATCTTTTATAATCTTCTCATTTGATGCCTTAGGAAGGCTCCCATCTTTGACATCACTCTTTGAATTTGTATCGACCATCTCTGGAATGCTTCCCTTATCCTTTCGACCTCCCTTACTCATGTTGTCCTTTTCACTTTGGTCTCTGTTCTTTGACTTGCTTTCATCATTCATCCCTTTATTTTCCGAGCACGTTGTCAAGGCTTCAGTGACAATCTCCGAGATCGATGTAAAAGATTTTTTTTTCTCAGCTTTATCATCATCTTCAAGATTCAACAGTCCTCCTAAAATTATTTAAAGTGTTAATTTAAAAAATAATAACAAGGTGAATCTAGCTAGAGAAGATAGAGTCAAGAGTTGTACAGACAGATGTACACAAGGGTAAGGAACACATACATGAAAATGTACGTGTTCCTTACCCTTGACATCAATGTCAAAGTTATGTTTGGTTGCAAAGAACATAAAATGCTGTCAATGATGCAGAGAAACACAAAGATGAGAGATGATTATTTGTATTATAAATGTATATCTGTGAAACATGGGGAAGTGGATATGTCAGGGAGGCAATGATGAGGTATGTTAGGGCTGAAAAGATAAGATGCAGTCAGTGATGCAAAGATGGGGTGAGGTCAGGAAAGCAAAGATGGGGTGAGGTCAGTGAGGCAAAGATCACTGACCTCACTTCTTGCCTATTTCTCCCCTTCATAAGCACTATCCATGTGTGTGTCTCAAGCTTTCATAAAGCCCATACAATAGAAATGCCATCTTCAAAGAAAGTTTACTCTTATCTTGGTGTTTCTTTGTGTTGTTGTTTGGTGGGTTGAGATCATATTGTAAACATGAATATGAATATATCCCCAACACCCTACCATCACCCCCCCCCCCAAACCATCCACTCCCCCCTCCCAACACCCTACCATTACCCCTTGCTCTTTTTGCTCACTTTGCTCTTTTAGAACTTTGAGAGTAAAGAGGATTAGCTCTTTATGAAAGTGATCACAATGCTTGCTAACTAGGGCAGTGTGGGTCCACATGACCCATCAGTATGACACTAATGGGTTAATGTGGACATTTTGATTGATTTATGTATATACTCTATAGTGGATTGACAAAAAAATGGGGACTTTGAAGGCTTTTCAGATGGACGGGTGTTTGTATAATGGGAGCCTCCTGTAATTTTAGAGCAACAATTGCCTATTCTTGCTGTCTCAAATGATCTTTTTAGAGTGATCTGATATCTTCTTTGGTGTCACAGTGATGGTTTCTCTCACTGATGGATTAAGGTTTGCTTTAGACTTGGGTTCCAAGCCCCATACTATGTGACAATACCATTTGAAAATCACCTTGTCACAGTGGAGTTCACCTAGAGACAAAGTCGCCTCTGAAGAATACCTGATCAACCAGGCTGTGATTCATACGTCAGGCTGCAAGCAGCCACATCCAACAGCCTGGTTGACCAACTGGGATTCCTGGTCGGAGACCGGGCCATGGGGCTGTTGATCCCCAGAAGCTACACAAGGTAGCCACAAGGTAAGTAGGAGACTGTTATGCCAACAATAACCTTAGTGCAACCTTAACCTAGATTAAGACAGCATCCGAGGGAGTCATACTCATAAAGAATAGTTTTTCATCGCTCTAAATTATAAAACAAAAAGTCTACAGTCCAATATGTTTTATAGCACATGTCACTAAAACAATTTAAGCAAGTACTGTACCTGTAATATCAACATATTTTCCATAGCGCCCTCGCAGCTTTTTCAATACAGGAATTTTAACAGTTTTAATATCAGCATTTCCCGTGTGTCGCAAATAAAGAGGGTCTGTTGCTAGCTGTTTGCGCACAATTTCTGAAGCTTCAAAACACACGTTGCTGCAGAAATACTGAAAAGAAAATACAAGAAATTAACAATTAAATAATCTGAATATCAAAATAAAGATTGGGTTTGTATTAACTTGAAGCCCTGTAGGATAATAGGTAACCTAGTCTCAGTCTGCAACAGAAGCATATTGTGGGTAAATAAAATGGTCACCACTATTCCATGAGAACTACTGCTCCCAAATGGTCACCACTATTCCATGAGAACTACTGCTCCCAAATGGTCACCACTATTCCATGAGAACTACTGCTCCCAAATGGTCACCACTATTCCATGAGAACTACTGCTCCCAAATGGTCACCTCTGCTCCAATTGTCAGGTCTTTCTTTCTACACTCACACTGTACTGCTCTTTGGTGTTTGGTTATATTCTCTTTGCTCTACACTTTCACTAAAAATGTCCCCCCCCTCCCCCCACACACTCAGTTGTCTTTGTTTTCCAACATGTACTGTACATGAACTTTTCAGTAATTTACTCGCTTACCTTCTGCTGTCCCAATTGCACTTGATGCAGAAGTCATCTTCATTCTTTACACTCAGTCTTGTTCCTTGATGGAAGCAATTACTGTACCTCACTTGTGTGATGTACTGAACTACTGTGTAAGAATTCTCGAGCAAATAATGAACATCAGTGTGCTTTATTTGCTTTAGTATATTCTATTTTGGACTACGACCTCAGCTCATAGCAGAGGAACCAGGGTTTGATACCCAGACAGAATGGGCACATTTCCTTTCACTTGATATCTCTCTTCATCTAGCAGTAAAACAGATACTCAAGAGTTAGAAAATTATTGCAGGTTGCATCCTGGGGAAGGTCAGAATAGTTGGCCTAGAGGGACCTAGAAAAGCCCAAGTATAAGTGTCATTTACCCGCCATTGGAAATTATTTTATAAACGAGAGTTTATTATAAACATCGCAAATCACTATTGGCATAATACGAGTGGCTGAGCCTTAAACCTTGTGACACACCCCCATCAAAAGGTGATGAGAAGTCAAATTCTATTGTATTGTCTTATATTTACTGCATTAAACTCCATCCTAATCTAGCTGTCAAGCTGGCCACAACATTAGCTCTGCAGTGTAAGTGAAACAACTTAAATTAGGCATCTATATAAAAGAATATAATTTTATTTTCCCAATGGCAGTGCTTCCATGGACACCCATTACAGCTGGCCAGCATATATTATAAACCTGTCCCATGCAATTTAAGTACAATATATCAATAACAACAAGTAATTACTGTACATGTATATCTTCCACCCTAAGATAATAATGTATAAAAAGTAACGCACTGGAATACTTACTCTTCTTACGGAGATGTCATAAATCTTGTTCCTACGGATAATGTAAGATCTGTTCCCAAACACGTCTTCAAAAGTTCTAGAACACAGCGGGTATCCACATAGGCTGGTAGTGGAACGGTCATTGACGATATCATCATAAATGGATGGATTAATGTACCGAGCCTGAGGAAATATACTGTAATTAACTTTAATTCAACTACTTATATGTCTGTATTGAAAAGATAAATGTGTTGACCATATGCTACATATTATTGCACACTGTACAAGGCTCAAAATTACTTATTTTCACAGTTATTAGTTTTTAACACCAAAGGAATATTTTTAAATGTATAATAGAGTGACAAGATGACAAGAATGTGATGAATTTATGAATAACTATTAAAGCCATTAAACAAAATCGAACCCATGTCCCTCAATTCCTCAAGCACATGTGTAGCCTCAATATTTAAATAATATTTTTGTGTACAAATCCACAAGGGCCGTGACGAGGATTCGAACTCTACGAGTTTTGACCACGTCGTAGCTCAGGTGATTAAGGCAGCGTCTGGGATGCTCTCAGACATAGGTTCGAATCCTCGTCACGGCCCTTGTGGATTTGTTCATTTGATGCATCACGCTACTGTGATTTCTGTGTGTAATATTTGTGTGTGTTTGGAGTGAGGTCTCATCCTCAATCAAGTTCTAGAACTAGTTTGATGGTGCAGCACCATGTTTCCCTTAACCTAACCTGCCAAAATTTTAGCATCCAGATGCCTAATTATTTGAAAGGAATACTGATGCAAGTGCTATATAACATTTTAATATTTTATATTTGTGCTTGAACATAGGTACAGTAGTGTTAATGCATGCCAATTATTTTGAAATATGACGATGAACATGGTAACGTGGCACTTTATAAATACAAGGGTTACCGGCTTAAATAGAAATTTACAGTTGGGTGACAGCTGAAATAGGTCCTGGGTTCAAGTCCCATGGAGGATAAGAACATTTGAGCAATATTTCCTTTCACTTGATGCGCCTGTTCATCTAGCAGTATATAGGAACCCAAAAGTTAGACAATTGTTGTCAATTACATCCTCAAAAAGCCTAACATGCCTTTAGACGGCCCCCCCCCCCCCCACCAACTATGGAAAACCATATCTACCTGCTTTTGTTTCTACAAGAATATTTGCTACACTAGTGTACCTAATACTTGATTATCTTGAGATGATTTCGGGGCTTTAGTGTCCCTGCGGCCTGGTCTTCGACCAGGCCTCCACCCCCAGGAAGCAGCCCGTGACAGCTGACTAACACCCAGGTACCTATTTACTGCTAGGTAACAGGGGCATAGGGTGAAAGAAACTCTGCCCAATGTTTCTCGCCGGCGCCTGGGATCGAACCCAGGACCACAGGATCACAAGTCCCGCGTGCTGTCCGCTCGGCCGACCGGCTCCGTGGCTCGGCCGACCGGCTCCGTACTGTAATTTAATAATGTATGGATATCTGGGTAAATACTTGTATTACTTTTTTACTTAATGATCAAGAATTATGATATCCTTTAGTCATTTTATAAAAATATACACAAGAATGGAACACACACAATAGTCAAATGGAGATATGTTGCAAAGAATAAACATAATTTAAGATTTCATCAATTCTAAATATATCTTTGATCATGGGTTTCAACGATTTTTTTTTACTAAGTTAACATAATTTATGCGATCAACACTAATACCAACACAGGTTATGTTGTAAAGGGAGTCTGTGATTCTAACTTGGTCATGTTATCATCTTCACTTTTACATTTAATATGATTTTCTCCCAGTGTATCAGCTCCACAAGAGTAGCAGCAGATGGTAGTTAGGAAGCGAGATCAAATCATTACCACACATGGGTTAAAAAGGACGTCACTCATTATCCATTAAATGGCCCTAGTCGCTATCAGCAATTACCTCGTGCTTAAATCACCAAATGCAATTTTTTGTACATTTTTTTGTGAACAAGTTTTGTCATACACACCACGATGTAAGACATATTATTAGCCAAGCCGTCTAGGAGTCAAACCAGAAGAGTCATGGAGGACATATGCACCCAATGAAACCTCCAAACATGCTAACCTATCACCACCTAACACCTCCAACAAGATACAGTATATTGAAAAACAAATCCCAGCCTATAATTAAGGTTCGACTGCACAGTATTCTTAAATCATTCTGAATGAATTAGGAGATGGCCTTAGCTTACCTGCTTAACAAAATCCAAGGGGCTGACAGCATTTAATATCATGCTCAGGTATATGCCCTGTGCACGGTGCTTCGCTTCCTTGGCCAAATCACTTGTAATTTTGAAACTCTCCTCTCTGTAAGACATTTAATATTTAGAAAATTAACATGAAATCATATTATAAACACCTAATATGTCTCGGGTTTTTGCCTTAGTGGCTTTTCTTATACAATGTGGTGTAGCATAGGCCTGCCTTGTAGAGTGCTTGGAGCTGCATGTGCTCAGGGTTACCTTCGCTGAGCTGCCCTTGCACTTGCCAGAGTTGTCTTCTCTGGAGTGATTGAGAGTCACTCCCTTAGAGGTATAGAGTCAGGGGTTTTGTCTATTTTCTGTTTTATCCTGGGAGGGATAAGACAGAAATGCTCAAACTTTGACTGGTGGGATGCACTGGTGGTTCACAGGCTTCCCTTCAGCATGCCAAGGTTATCTTGAGGTTATCTTGAGATGATTTCGGGGCTTTTTAGTGTCCCCGCGGCTCGGTCCTCAACCAGGCCTCCACCCCCAGGAAGCAGCCCGTGACAGCTGACTAACACCCAGGTACCTATTTTACTGCTAGGTAACAGGGGCATAGGGTGAAAGAAACTCTGCCCATTGTTTCTCGCCGGCGCCTGGGATCGAACCCAGGACCACAGGATCACAAGTCCAGCGTGCTGTCCGCTCGGCCGACCGGCTCCCTTCAGCTAATCAACAAATTCACTGTTAAGTATTTAATGCTAACTTACAAATTTCAGTGTTTTTGGTATTAAAATGTACACAAAGGTGGGTTCTGTCATTTCTACCATTTAAATGTGTTTAATAAAATAGCAGGAAATAGCAAAACTTGGACAAAACAGAACTTCTTCAGCTATGAACTGCCTTCGGTAAGATTTTGTCCATTCATGCGGAAGTCGACAACATTTTTGAAATACTGATCTGCTCTCATCCCTAATATCCTGCATAAAACAACTAAGTAGCAAATACATTAATTAGGTTGATGGCTTAAAATATCAGATCACGACAAATCAAACCTCTTACCTCCTAGACGGCTTATTTGTTCCATGTCCTACGGTATCCTCTGCAGTCTTCTTTGGAATATTCTCTTCCAACATATTTGAACTGAAACAAAAGATTTCAACTAAGACAAACAAAATCAACAGTTCTCAAAATATTGACAGAACTGAAAAATTGCCAGCTAATCTTTTTTTATTTTTTATTTTTTTGAGGGGGGGACTGAAACTTAAAAAGTAAGATTAGATCAATTAAACAGAAGTCATTGGAAAGTATTTATTTATTTATTTATTTACTTTATTTATATATACTGTACAAAAGTTCTTACATTCTTGTAAAGCCACTAACATGCATAGGGTTTCAGGCAGGTCCCTAATTTTTTCCCCGGAATGCTACCCGCCGAATCGTTTAACAACCAGGAACCCATTCACTGCTTAGTGAATAGAGGCTACAGTTAAGGATTGGTGTCTGGTCAATCCTGCCCAGCCAGGATATGAACCCAGGCCAAAGTGCTTGTGAAGCACCGGGCACTTGCTTTACCACTACAACATGGGGAGTGCATATTCTGGCTTATGCACCACGCAGACTGCATATTATTTTATTCTGGCTTGTGTATGATCTTTATGCTGTAAAATGGTACCAGGGTAGATACCTGGAATATTAAAAACTAAGAATAAAGGTGATATCAACTACCAGTGGAACAGGAGACTGTGAGCCGGTTGTTGGTCACCAGTACACCTAAGGAAACTGAAAACCTCACCAAAACATACCGAGATGCCATATATTTCTTCCATGCACATTAAAGTTAAGATCTTAACATTACTTGGTTTCCAAGAAACAAGACACTATACATGGGGGAGGTCAGATATTTGGCCTTTAGAGGAACCATTAAAAACCAAGTTTATTCATTCAAGTTGAAAACCCTATCAAAACATAGGCTACTGACATATGATAAACAATATGTAGGTTCAACATAACAAATTTTAGTTGAATTATTAATATGATAAATCTTGAAAGTGTTATTTAATAAAATGCCATATTGACTTTAATTTTGGTGGCCAGCAATGATTTGAGAGTATGAGTCACGATAACGTGGCTGAAGAGTTGATATCCAACCCACACATCTGAAAATGAAGAAACGACGACATTTCGGTCCATCATGGACTTGATAATTTACCTGAATTTACATGAGGGCTACTAACACTCTAGATGCTTCAACGAGGACAGGAAGCTGGCGTCATTTCTTCCTTTTCAGATATGTGAGAGTTGGATATCTATTGATTTGAGAAGCAAGAATTCTTATTTTACATGCAGTTTTTAAGAACAATTATGGAAGTAGCAGTACATGCAGGGAAGTACTTGCCAAAAGTAGCAGCAACATATGATTAACTTACATAGCACAAACATTCTATGGGAAAAATTTGACATGTAGATATAGCATTTAGATTTACTACAAGATATTAAGTAATTGTTGGTTTTCTAAAATGGTTAAATGAAACACAGCATTCTATTGCAGTTGAGATAATTTACTTTTGCAACATTTTTTTCTTTGGACTAGTCAGACTTGTTATATCAGACATGTTTCTTTTGTGATGTTTATGAATTCTGTTGCAGTGTACTTAGAAATAACTTATAGTGCTCTATAAAAGTTTTAACTTTTAACAGTTTTTGCTGCTGTTGACTGGATTAAAGAGCTTTCACAGATCAAATATTGTACAAATATTGTAACTATATTAAACAAGTAGGGTTCAAGAGTGGTAAAAATTTTTAATTGACTATGCCATCACTTTAAACATAACCTAGCTTAACCTATCTTATCCTAACAGAACTAAGAGATAAATTTTGTGTTTTATAGTGATCACGATGCGAGTGGAATCACTATGATGTCATCATTGTAATGCAGGGACAGGGAAGGTTCTGAATGCTTCTGCATCAGTTACAATACTGAAATATACACAGACAAAATATTAGGGTAATTATTTTACCCTGACAGTGTACTTGTATAAGGTGACTCTCTAGGCGGAGGCGCTCGACAAAATGCGTGCAGTTGACGCGAAGCTTTTTCTCTACCCAATGGCCCCACGGGTGATAATGTTGGGTAAGCAGTACGTCAACTGCGTTGCTTTCCAAGCAGACGTCCAACCGTCTACTCGTCGTCACGACTGAACCAGCAGTCAGATTACCGTGTTGTGGGAAGAATGTTCTCGTCCAGCCAGTCGGATTCGGTCGGATTACCGCGTCTTGCCTCACCATAGTCTAACCGACCCCCTGGACCTTCACCTTTGTCAAAAAACTCCTTTTGTTATAGTGATGAGGATGATGTTGATAATGATGATTATGATGATTGCCCATTGCCCGAAACTCTATACGTATTAGTGGCTTTAGGTATTGTATGTACTAGCTCTATCTATCTATAGTCTAAGTGGTTTTTTCCCCACCTTAAGTTCAAGTTCAAGTATGTTTATTGAGATAAGCAATAAATACATCTCAAAAGGGATAGAGTAGCTTAGGCTATTTCTACCCCCCTCTACTTCAAGTCCCTCAAGGGGTGCACAAATGCTGTGAGTACAAATAGACAAATTACAATACAAGAATCCCATTTAACATTGCAGGTTAATATAGTAAGTACAGCATATAATTGTTACACTCTTGGGGCAAAATTCTTGTAGCTCCTAAGTATACTGTCTATCATACCATTATCATACATCCAAACAATTTTATGTGGCACACTATTTCCTTATTTCTATAGTTTTCAATAAGTTGACACTCTAATACATAATGTTCTAAGGTGTGGGCGTGCGGCATACTACATAATTTACACTCCTTATCTTTTTCACTGACATCAACACATTACTGCCAGATATATTTGTATCCTAATCTTAATCTCATGTAAATTGAATCCTTCCAAGTAGACTTTCCTTTACATAAGAACATAAGAACATAAGAACAAAGGTAACTGCAGAAGGCCTATTGGCCCATACGAGGCAGCTCCTATTCTATAACCACCCAATCCCACTCATATACTTGTCCAACCCGTGCTTGAAACAATCGAGGGACCCCACCTCCACAATGTTACGCGGCAATTGGTTCCACAAATCAACAACCCTGTTACTGAACCAGTATTTACCCAAGTCTTTCCTAAATCTAAACTTATCCAATTTATATCCATTGTTTCGTGTTCTGTCCTGTGTTGATACTTTTAATACCCTATTAATATCCCCCCGGTAATGTCCATTCATCCACTTGTAAACCTCTATCATGTCACCCCTAACTCTTCGCCTTTCCAGTGAATGCAACTTAAGCTTTGTTAATCTTTCTTCATATGAAAGATTTCTAATTTGGGGAATTAACTTAGTCATCCTACGCTGGACACGTTCAAGTGAATTTATATCCATTCTATAATATGGCGACCAAAACTGAACTGCATAATCTAAATGGGGCCTAACTAGAGCAAGATATAGCTTGAGAACCACACCAGGTGTCTTGTTACTAACGCTGCGATTAATAAATCCAAGTGTCCGATTTGCCTTATTCCGAACATTTATGCATTGATCCTTTTGTTTTAAATTCTTACTAATCATAACTCCCAGATCCCTTTCGCAATCCGACTTCGCAATCACAACACCATCTAGCTCGTATCTTGTAACTCTATCATCATTACCTAACCTCAGAACTTTACATTTATCAGCATTAAACTGCATCTGCCAATCCTTTGACCATTTCAAAACCCTATCTAGATCAACTTGAAGTGATAGTGAGTCCTCCTCCGAATTAATTTCCCTACCGATTTTCGTATCATCGGCAAATTTGCAAATGTTGCTACTCAAACCTGAATCTAAATCATTTATATATATTATAAACAACAGAGGTCCCAGGACAGAGCCTTGAGGCACTCCACTTACAACATTTTCCCACTCTGACTTGATTCCATTTATACTAACTCTCTGTTTCCTTTGGTATAGCCATGCCCTAATCCAGCTTAATATAGCACCCCCAATACCATGAGACTCTATTTTTTTAATCAGTCTTTCATGTGGCACTGTATCAAAAGCTTTGCTAAAGTCAAGGTATACAACATCGCAATCCTTACCACTATCAACTGCCTCAACAATGCTAGAATAAAAAGATAACAAATTTGTTAAACATGAACGGCCATTTATAAAACCATGTTGCGACTCAATTATTAATTTATGTTTTTCAAGATGAAGACGAATTTTATTTGCTATTATAGATTCGAGTAACTTTCCCACAATAGACGTTAGGCTAATTGGTCGATAGTTAGACGCAAGTGATCTATCTCCTTTCTTAAAAACTGGTATCACATTAGCAACTTTCCAAAACAAAACGTCCTTCACTTTACCATAAGTGAAGGACGAATTTGTATTTATTATTGAATAATTCTTAAGTGTGTTACTACTGTCCACCATTGCCATTCTCTTTATCATTTCTTCACCCTCCTGGATCATCTTGATTCTTGTTTTTATTTGTTTCAAGGTTAACTGACATACAACATCAACAAGAGTTTTTTCAGTGGCTCTCTTCGCTATGTCATCAACTACCTCATTCAACAGTATTCCCACATGTGAAGGGATCCACATGAATCTTACTTTATACCCAGTTTTTTCTAGTCTCTTAACATTCTCTCTACACTCTATCACAATATTCTGGTATACTGGGCGTCTGCTATTTAAAGACTCTAACGCTCCTCTGCTGTCAATAAAGAAGCAAGCATTTTTACCACATTTGACTACTTCCTGTAATCCTGCTAATACTCCTTGGAGTTCAGCCTGCGTTGAAGAGACATTGTCAGTTAAGCGGCGTCCAATAACAGTATCTACAGTGTCGATGTCAGTGTACTCCCTGATCAAGACTCCACATCCTGCCTTCCCATCCCTAGCTACTGACCCATCACAATATACATGTAGAGTGTTTTCTGTAGGCAGTTTTCTAATTATACAATCATATGTTGCCCTCAGCTCTCCTATTTCATACATACTTTTTTTCTTATGCAAGGCAGTAATTACTACATCTACATTACAATCCTCCCATGGTGGTGTAAATTTTCTCTTGGGCACAGCAATACACTCTGTAATAACATCATACTTTAT